TAAACATTTTGCAGGAAAAAAAAAAAATCAGCCTATATGGCATATGTGAAGATCTAAGAGTACAACAGATTCCATTCTCGCTGAACACACTTCAACTTAGGAGCAGACTATGCTTGCACAAGTCAGAGATCACAGGCCAACATAACTCAAAAGTTAGACTATGCCTCTGATGACTGCAGGAGGTAAGAAAGTGCTAGACGCTGAGAACAAAGGAACCATTGTTCCTGCACTCTCAAAGACTGTTAACAGCATCTGAGAAAAAAGGAGGGAGGAAGTCATTCAATTCAGACGCAAAAGTATTCAAATCACAACGTTTCTGGACCAGACAGAAAATGCATCCAGCATCACCTCTGCAAGAGTGCCCAAATTTATGTATTCAAAAATACTAGTAAAAAATCTTTAGGCTAAGGACAAAAAAAATATGTCACTAGTTAAGTAGTAAGTACTCAAAGCCTGAAAAATACCTGAATACCGATATTCAGGATGCGTACGCAATTGCTATTTGTTCCCCTTTAAACATACACAGAACTTACAGCATCATATCGTCCTCTCCAGCATGAAAGAGGAGGATACTCACTTACCAGACAACTATGCAGTACTTTTTTCCTTCACTATTCCTATTTCATCTTACATATTATTTACAAACTGACTTCAAAGCTTACTTTAATGTCCAAATTCCTTTTCTTACAGGCTTCACACCACTCATCATTGTAACAGTGGAGTGCTTGAAAAAAAATCATGCCTTGGAAGTTACCAGAAATTAGTACATTACAGTTGAGAAGGACTGGTTTTACTGGAAGTTGATTTTAGAAATAGTGAGAAGCGTTTTACTCTTCCATAATGGAACAGCACAAATAGGTCTTAGAAAATGCTGCCATTTATGAATGCTAAAATGAACAGTGCGAAAAATAAGTAGCTTCAAGGAATGAAGCTTAGCATTTGATTTTTTTCTAAAACAAATTGATTCAAAAATTTTGAGTATTTTTCCCCCATTTGAAAAAATAGTTACCCTCTGAGCACTAATACAGGGAACTGATGCAAAATTTGATGCGTTTATTAATTCTGAAATCATGCAATATAAACAATTTGCAAGATTTTTAACCCTAAACTCTTTAGAAAGAATTATACAATTCTAAAGCTCCAGGCTAAAATAGCAGTATAGGGTTACTCCACAAAAGACAAGAAAACTCGTTTGATACAATAAGCAACCTGTTTTATGAAGATAAAAATCCAGATCCTAGAGTTGGGAGCTTCATATTGCTGCTGGTATTCACTAGAAAAGGCTAATAGAATACTGTCCAGCTAATGGGCTATTATTTCCTAAACCACAATTATCAAGTGCTCTACTACTAGGTTAGCTGTCCTAGATAGTATGCAGGAAAAGCCTGCAATTCTAAACACTTGCAAGAAATTTTAAGTTTAGGAGCCATAACAACGAGCTAGACAGGTTTTCAAAAAATTTTCTTCTTCACCTTGAAAGTGAAAACCCACTGAAAAAAATGCTCAGCCAAGAGACTGGGTTAAATAAAAATTAATTTTAAAACTAATTTAAATAATATCTGTGCAGTCTAATCTTAGAGCCCACAGCTTAGTCTTGGACAGAAAAATAAACTTTGAGACTCCAAGTATCATACCTTCCAGGTTTGCGAATTAGAGATTACCAAAAGGAAAATAACTAGACTTTTTACAGTAACAGATCTAAAGTACTGGTTACCTGTGCAATTCTGCAGTCAACAAGAATGGGTCAATCTGCATGCAGTAAGCCCTATTCCAAATCAAGCCCTATTCCCTTAAGTCTTAGTAACTTAATTCAACTCTGTTATCCAGCATACTGGGTAACTAGGCTACGCTAGGTAACGTGCGCATAACTGCACGTGCCACGAAGCAAAAGCAGACATGTCTATCCCCCTAGCTTCTTGAAATAGAATATTCAAACTTCAACAAGGCATTTCAGCTATATACTGAATTCACCAAACTCAACCTGATTTCTATGAAGCCATACAGATGTCTTTGTATCGCATACTACTAGGAGGACTTACTAGCTTGAGAGCAGCATTAAGCAACAGGGTGCCATACATTCATACAGCACTACATGGAATCTAATAAGCCCTATGACAGGGCAGAATTATACTGAACATCAGCTGCGCAGCTCAGCAGCTCTCCATTAATCCCTGGGGGAATCAAGTTCATACATTCAGAGATGCTGTCTGCACATTCCCAAGTAACCTGCAGCAATATAGGATATCTCATCCGTGTCTGCAAGAAAACAACAGCTCAGGGCAGGCAGAATTCATTAGACTGGGCTCTGTGCTAAAGTTCTAAGCCAGCTCCAGAAAAAAGTAGAAAAGTTTAGCACTTTACAACAAACTATACCTAAATGTAATACAGGTTCAAAAAAAAAAAAAAAAGAAAAAAAAAAAGAAAAAGTCGAGAGCATGTGATTTAGGCACCTCTTCAACTACTGCACTTAAGCCACCTAATATATAGTTAAGAATAGTCTGTACCACTGATTCATAAATATTAAGTACCTTATTTCAAATTTTCTACTGAAATTTAGGTGAAGCCAACTTACCTACAATTAGGACTAGTGGCTTACATGAAGACTTAAGAAACTTTAGGCAACAAAGAACATTTGGAGATCAAACCAGACACAGTCATGAAAGCTAATTTTTCTAGGAGTAAGCTAGCTAGTTTTACTCATCACCTTCCTCTCCAGGTGGATTCTAGTCCCCTTGCTCAATGAACCTAGGCAGATTTTTCTGCATGCTGTAGAAATGCAGCAGAATTGGCAAGAAAAAACTTCAAAAAAGCTACAGATTCCAGCCCCTATAAAGAGGTAAAAATGATACTCGGTCAGGCAGAAGATGCGTAAACCTGTATTTCCAGTGATAAGGCAGATGCATGCATGAATCAGAGTTGACTTCAAAATTCTGTGACTAAACATCTGTTCTCTGCTTCAAACTACAGAGGTACTTGGAAACTTTTTAAACTCATTTGAAAGCCATTGACCTACGATTTTTCTGTAGAAAAAGGAAAGCTTATTGCTAAAGAAATTTACATCCAAATCAGATGTATTCCAAAATTAGAGAAGTATCACTGTCCCACAGAAAGCAATCTGACAAATCTTAGCAACAAGCTGACATACAATACCTTTCTTGTCATCTCCAGCAGCAACCTCAGCCAAGTAACGGTAGTAGTCTCCTTTCATTTTCAAATAGAAAACTTTACTTTCTGCTTGCGAAGCATTAGGGATCAAGAACTTTTCCAACAGAGACTAAAATGGAAACAAAGAACACAGTGTTTTGAGCAAACATAATACAACAAACTGTAAAAGTGTAACTGAACTATTGGTTCAATTTATTTGAAAGTCAAGAAAGCTTTACTCTTTGTGTCCTACTGCCCTTTTTTCCTAAATATCCTACACAGCATGTCCACCCAAGGACAATTTGATCTGGATCACAGTTCTAGGTACAAGCAGGAACGCTCCATGCTGTGATTCTATGGAAGCCTGTATTAATTCAGTTGGTAAGTATCAAGGAATCAAAGGGTTTGTTTCTGTATGTTGTCATGTGGTGCTCTAACAAAAATAAGGGAATCCAAAGACTCTGGGCAGAGGGCACACAACAGAAGAAAGTCTGCATCCACAGAAGTTAATAAAAGGATTTAAAATACTGGGTTCTCAGATCTGGAAGCTGATATCATATGAGCACAGGAAATGGGAACTAGGCTACTGAGGCTTATTAGTTGAAGTCCCATACTGGTGTCACCAAAGGTAAGAAACTGCAAGGTGAACCCAAATTCTTGCCTCTCTGGACAGTTTACAGTCTACAGCTATGTAACACTGAAGAGGATCAGCTATTTAACGTCACGTGCTGCCCTAACAGGTGTTTCCTATCTTTTCCAAAGCAAAAGGTGGCTGCCTGGAGTCATCCCACCAAATATTGCCTGTGGGCTGCCAGTTAAGACCAGCTTTTTCAAGATTTTTCAAATTGCTTATTAAATTAATACAGTAAGTTCCCAGGTGAGGGAGTCATGTAATCTAGCAAAAGTTTTATTATTATGAAAAAGTAAAAGAAAAGAAAAAAGAAATCAGCAACTCTGACACATTTACCCCAAATAAGGTGTAAGCTTGTCAGACTCTTTGATATTGAGTGTTTAAAGTCAGATTTCAAAAGAAAAGCTATTTATTGAAATGGCAAAAAATGTGCAGGAGCACTTTTGAATACTCACAGTGAAAACAGATGCCATTACACATACTTTGCTGAGGCTGTGTAGCAAACATTAATATTTTTATAAAAAGTTTTCAATAAAATTTTCAGCTTTTTTCATTTTGAATTACATCACTGACATTTCAGTTCTGCTTTGCAGAAACAGTTGAGCAAATACAGTTCAAAACCACAGAATTATGACTGCTTTACAGTACTTTTGTACTAGACAGTGATCTGCATATTAGCTGAATTATCTTACATGATGTATTCCTGGGATTGGCATAATCTGGATATGGTAATTTGTGACCTTTGGCACCAGCTCAGAAAAATAAGACAACCTACATAAAGTTACAGAAAATTATGTTTGTAATTGTTTCCTCTTCTTGCTCCATCAATTAATTTTTTTTCTTTTCTAAGTATTGCTAAATCATTTATATAAATTATGAATATTTAGCCTAACTGACTCAAACTTGTGTGAAACCTGTGAAAAATGAAGCCTCCTATTACGGTAGTTCTCTCTCACTTCTCTCTCAACAGATAGGGCAACAAACTTGGGCTGACAGAAACGAGTCAGACAACGTTTTGCTACGCCTACGCTCCAACGAGATTAAAACTGTTAGTGGATTTTTTAAAATAAGTTTTTAACACAATGGGAGATATTTATCAGTCATCTTTAATATCATAGGATTTCAGTACTGTGAGGGCTGGTATACAGTTCCATTTTATATTTATAAAAGAAGATATCTAGAACACTTTGCCCTGTGCTTCCTGTCTGAAGGAGAGCAGAGAGAATCCTCTATCAAAGATAGCACAAGCAAATCAGCAGCAAAAGTTTGGTTTTTTGGGTTTTTTTTTGTTTGTTTTGTTTTGTTTTGAGTCAGCCAAACGGGCTGCTGGGCTGCCTCATGCCCAGGGCACCCTTCTGAAGGGCAAACTACTATGCAAGGAGAAGGACTTAGTGCCACCACTGCTTCCGTGCTGCTGGAACAAAACCGGAGCCTGTAAGGTGCATGGATCACATGTTTCAGTTCTCCTTAACTGCTTATACACTCTGTTCTCACTATTAGAGAACACCAAGATTCACAGCTACGACATTTTTCATCAGTGCCAAGAAACTCTGACTTCATGACAACTGAAGGTTCCTAACGACTAAGGATAAAGGCTGCTCATTAGTTTTTCTGTGCAGAAGTGCAGTTAAATCAGGTGCGTCAGTCTGCACCTAACCTTCTGGCACCAGGAGGAGTAGCCCTCCTTCTGTACTCTCCCTGTTAATTGATCAGACCAAAATATTTTCAATGATTCCAGAGACACAAATTATTCATTAACTGTACAGAAAGTCATCTGACTAAAAAGTACAGCTTTACTCACTACCACAGCACCAACCAAACTTTCAGTCCTAAACTTCACTTAAGTCACAACTGAGGTAGAGTTGTTTGCAAACAGCTGATTGAAGGGGTGATTTGCAATCGCAGGCATCATGCAAGAAAGTCTAATTATAATCTTCATAACTGGACAGTAAGTAAACCTTGTATGTAGGGGGAGGGAAGAGGGGAAGGGGAGTTCTAACCCAAGCCAAATAGAGTCTATGGAAAGATTCTCTGACACCTGGAGTCCTGGACTGCGCTGGTAATTTGCTCAAGCGTCTGAAGGAAAGAAGTCTCTTCTATCTGAACACCCCATAGGATTGGTAGGCCACACATCTCTGGGAGAATTTTATTTATGCCAAATATATAACAGGCCACTAAACATTAGAGTAACAACAAGAAACCCTGAAAGCAGATTAAATCTAAAAGCTAGCATATAAGTAAATGAAAGGAGCTCTTTCCCCTATCTTTTATCTAATACTAATCTATAACTGTATATACTCAGTTTCTCCTGTCAGTACTGGTCTTTTCATTTCAGGATACACTTTCCTTTACCAACATGAAGTTATAAACCCTCCTTAGAAGTTAGCTTAGTTAGATTCAGAGGATACTAATTTGTCTCAGAGACTTGCTGTGAAAGCAGCAGTCTGCATGTAGGTGGGGTGGCTGCAGAAAGTCAGACACGAAAACATTAAAATGACTGACCTCTTAGATTCTAACTACAAAAGACAACATAAAACTGAAAGAGGCATAAGCCACCTAACATTTTGTTTGATGGTTAAATCCCATCCACTTCTGAAGAACACTGGAGAGTAGCATCTTTTTATTTTTTATTTTTTAAAATAAAGAACTTTAACCGTAAAGCTTCTCTGGAGGATGCACTTTTTCCACATGCTCTACAAGTAGGTACCACAAAGTATTCTTAGAAATCCACTGATGTGTGTTCTGTCTTATCTAAAACAAAGCTCCCATAGATAGTAAGAACTGTTTCAACAACACGACCCATATACATCCACCTTCTCTCTCACCAGCTGATGTGACAGTTTTTACAAGTGCAGAACCACCCACCACATGGGTCACTTTGGCTCACAACTAGCCTAAGACTAGACCAATCATCTGTAATTAAGAAGTCTTTCAGGTGAACCACGTCACTCCAATACATACAACATCCTGATAATAGAAGGAAGGCCATTCAGCAAGTGTATTAAAGCTGCCTGGTATGTAGCTAAGCTCTCAAGCTCGTTCATGACTTTCCTGCGATCAGGTCAAATTCCCATCCATGTCTGACATATATTAATACGCACCGACTAACTTTATGGGCAGTTACAGTGCTTGAATCTGGTAGAAAGAGCTAAAAACAAAAACGAAACAAAATGCCCAAACAAATAATCCCCTTAAACACCCACCCCTCCCCCAACCCTTTTTTGGAGCTTCTAATTTGTATCAGGCACCAACGCTTCACATCTGCAACTGTGATTACTCTTAGTCAACAGCTTTCTGGTACTCAGGACTGGAAGAGACAGCACACCCAAACTCAAGCGATGCTTGTTAGCTATGCTCGTGCATACCATACATAAGCAATGTCATGAATTTTGTACATTCCCCCACCCCCAGAAAGTCTGCACTAGAGAAACAGTCTTTGTCTCCAAAGATGCAACTCAGACTGCATCAGCCCAAACTTTTATTATTCTATCAGTGAACTTCAATCCTGGCTCATACTCAACACTGAGCAGGAGAAGATTCACATTGTCCTTGCTTTGAGACCTGTTATTTCGCTGTTCAAAAGTTAGAAGAGCATCCAGTCAACAGCTGGTAACATTAAGCATAAGTACAATGCATTTTGAATTGTTCTGTAAGCACTACACAGCCTATTATTTTGATGAAAGGCCCTACGGACTTGTTCCCATAGTTTTGCAAGATAAAGTCTTAAGAATAAAAGTTAATCAGATTCAGTTTGGAGAGTGAAGGAAACGCAAAATTCAGTGTTAAAAAAAAAAAACCTATTAAAAAAAAAAACCACTGCTTCTTACTACTGCAAGTTATACATACTTCAGTTTGTCAGGTTGTGGTCAGAACTTCAGTTGAAGACAGGAAGCCAACCCGTAAAGACTTGAATAGTCTTTTCTTGACATTTGAGGCCTAAAACTACCCTTCTTATAAAAGCCATTTGCTTACATCTTTGGCAAGGGACTTGTGTGGGCCAGATGACCATTCCCAAATTTACACCAGCACGTTAAAATTAATGCCTCGTTTTGTCCAGTTCCATTTAGTCCTATGCCTATTTACCCTGATTAAAGGCTCAGTGTCAGCACATGTTACTGCCTGGAAATTTTAGATAATTACTAATGCACTTGATGATTGCATCAACAGCTCAATTTAGATATTCCCCCTCCCCAACAAATAGGTCACAAGAAATACAATCACCTGTTTCTAGAAGCACACAGCTGTAAATAAGCAGGCAATATCTAGTCAAAATATTTAGAAGAAGGAACGTTACTTAAATTACCAAAAAATAAATAACCATTAAGGTACATAGCTGAGTAAAACCTCTGGAAATATTGAAGAGACAAAAAGGTTCTGCTCCTGCGCAGCAAAAAAAAAAAAAAAAAAAAAAGCTTAAGAACAGCAAGAGTTCAAAACAGTACATTGATAAGTATTACCTAATTTAATATCAATTTTGCTCACAGCTAACAGGGCAGGCC